TATTGTCACGAACCTCAAGCTCGTAACACTATTTTATTATAATTTTTCAATTTATACTACGTACGCTTTATTAAATGAAAAGAGCTGTGGTAGCTCAGGAGCTAGGCGCTTGCTGTAAATTTCTCAGTACTCGGGATACCAAGATACAATTCGAAGTACAGTGGACCCCCGGTAATCCGACAAACATTTTGCAGGGCAGTGTCGAACTATCGAATTTGTCGGATTAAAGAGTACTGCCTAAGACATTCTATATAGTTCATTTTTTTTTTCAAAAGAGAACCCTGTAATCCGACAAATTACAGATACAATTATAAGATTCTGTATGTTATATATATGCACTACATTATAACATAATAAAGTATGATTTGTATTCTAAAATACAAATCATACTTCAGTATGTATGTCAAATTTAGTAAATTCAACAACACAATAGAGAGCTTACGTTTTATTGTAAAATTAACTTCATTAATTAAACAAAAAATATGCAATAACTTTACATTAGGAAATAATTGTATACAAACAAATGTACATACCAAAATAATCAAAAATTATGAACGAATCAATTTCAGAAGCATCGATTTAAGATCGTTATCAAAAAACAATAACGCTTTTTGAGGAAAGTTACGATCTTTTAACCATTTTCAGAATCAGAATCAAAACAATGCCCTACACGTCGAGCACAATAGTGTTAGTGCGTACAAGTTAGAACTTGTTCAATCATGCATTAGCGAAATTAACGAAGATTGTCAAAAAAATTCTATATTAAATAATAGACCATGTCGGACTACAGGGGATGCTGGATTAGACTGGGGCCGGATTACCGGGAGTCCACTGTAAATCAAACTGCGCCGTATTCTGTAATTCAGTTAGATGAGTAGTTGATATATAATTTGAATGTTGAGATAGAAATATATATATATATACATATATATATATATATATATATATATATATATATATTATTCTATCAGATAGAGATAAAAATCTACCACAGTGCACTTAATTTACAATTATTTACGTCAGACAACTTGATAAAAAATGAAGTTGGTGAAATTAAAGCTAGGCTGATAAACAGCCAATATATTCAACTAAAGAGGTTCTCTCACAATCACAGTTTTATGTACATAGTATTAAATATGACAATATTGTTAGTCATTTTACCAAACATAGTAATTGCAGTAAATTATTTCGATACTATTTCGATACTGGCCAACGGTCTATTTAAAGTTTTGATTCTAAACAAATAAGTTTTAAAAGCCATTATTATTTAATTTTATCAGTGACTTATCATTGGTTTATTTAGCAGTACGCAGATAGAGCCAAGTATCAAGTAATATCTGCGATAGAACGTTGGGGTCTGATTGGAAAGCAGCAAACATTTATTTATTATATAAATAAGGCATAAAATTACGTTTATTTTAATAAAAACTTTGTGTTAAAAACATGCTATCATGATGAACATGATATGACCATATCATGAAATAACACTGTTGTTTAGTTTTTGTGTTGAGTAGCTTAATATAGTCAAACGATCTCTATTCATTGATTCTGACAAGCTATATGAGGACATCATGGTCAACAGTGTTAAATTACTACAACTATTTCACAAAATGACAGACTATTTTAAGATATGATCAGTCTACAATCTGGCCACTACATATATATAAAAAGCGGTCTAGGTGCGACCTGAAAGGTCCACACAACATTCTTTCCAGTGAAAAGAATTAAAAAATATCATAATGTTTTAATATTTTATACAATTTACCTTTCGACACAAATTACAAGTTTGCTCAAAATTTTATGAGGTCTAAGTTGCATAATTATGCGTGAATGAAACTGGTCCCATGTCAATATCAATTCAATAATTCCACTAAAAGCCACATCCATTTTCATATTTTTAATTGATGTCATTATATTATTTATTAAAATTATTATACTTTTAAAATGAAATAACGAAAAAGTTTAAATAATTTTATAAAACTCATTATTTTAACATATAAATGTAAGTTTTTTAATTATATTTTATATTATTTAATGTATTAGTGAAGGCAAAATGTACTTTTTTATTTGATAATAGATGGCAGTGTTTTAAAAACTAAAATGTAGATTGTTGGAATAGTTTCAAATCATTAAACAAAGGTTATAACTAATTTGAAACTTTATTTATAAATATGGTATTCATTCGAAAAACACCAGTCATCCTGCATACTTCTTATAAAATCATTTAAAATAGAAAATAACATTTAAAGGAAGGAAAATACTTAACCTTCTTTTCTGAAGTTCCGAAATCAGATAAAAAATACAAGTTGCCCTGGGTTACTAACTACCTACATAGAAATTTTCATTAATATCGGTCTAGTAGTTTTTGCATGAATCTTGAATACACAGACAGGCAGAGAAAAATTCTAAAAACCACTAATTTGGCAAGTCCGGGGGACTAAGTAAAAGGTACTGTACCTTTTACTTAGTCCCCCGGACTTGATTTTTCAAGAATATATTAGTATTACAGATACTACTTCTCTACAGATTTATTATATTATGTATAGATTTCTAGAAAAACTTATTTTTACCCATATCAAATAAGAATAAGGATGATGTCAGACAGATTATTACATTACAAAATTAAGAAAGAATGACAGTACAATATTAAATTAAAATATTATTAAATTATTATAATAAACTATTTATTACCTACAAAATATCGCATATTAGATGTCACAATCCTATAAAAATTTTGAATTGCATATTTAAGCTTCATCTTTGGTATCTCAGTGGGTAAAACATGAGCTTCTGTGAGTTTAGATATCAGTCTTATGCTCTTATTGCAAGGATTTTCTTTATGTAGAAGTTCAATATAATGCCATTTGAAGATATTTAAGATCATATTGAAGATCCTATGTATGATCATATAAAGGTATAATTTTGTGCTTCATATTTGGAAATAAACTGAAAAAGAGCCTCTTCATCACTATTTTGGCCAGTTTGTTGGCTGGATTATCTCTGCATAACAGTTCAATTAGATCTGAGAAATCACAAAGTTTACTTGATACTTGATACATTTATTGTTGATAGGTACTGTAATATTGCTTATGCTGTTATTTAGGCAGCAATATTTCTCTTCAAAGTGAGCATAACAAACATGGTGTTGTTTAAAAATGCACTCATTATCCAAACCAAGAATATCACTCAGTAATTGGCTTTGGAAATAAATCAAGCTTCTTGTCTTTCTCTCTGAAATTGAAAGATATAGAATATTTAAACAAACATTTTATAAATGTGTAATATTGCTACATCATTTTCACAACTCTTGTTTAAATTTACAAACCATAGGCTCTTGTTATTGAAAAATCTATTCAAACTTAATTAGACTCAGAAATTTTTGTGGTGCTTCTGTAATTTTTATTTTTGTTACTGTACATTAACACTGTAAATATTTCACTGCACGGCATAGGCCTCAAAAGAAGGATTTTCCTTAATTGCCACCCTCAGAAAGCAAATTGGTACCTGCAATGCCAGATACCTCTCAATTAGATGCTGCTGCCCAATCATCAGTCTGCTTAATTTTGGTCTGGTACCTTAGGAAAGAGTATCTTAAGTTGAATACCACTGATTTTTAAGGATTTTTTCTTAGTTGCCTATTACAACACATAGAGAAAAAGGTGTGTTAGATTTTTATGCCAATATCACAATGTTTTGTTACTGTCGAGTTTTACTGATATTGTATTGAACTAAGAGTATACAAAAGGGTTGGGTTTACAATTCGGTCGCCTGAATTTGACAATTCTGTCACTGTGGGGTCAAGGGGGGTTTATCTGAAGCACTCCCACGCGATTATTGCTGCCGGAGCAGCGTCGAAGTATTTTATTATTATTCTCACGTTATTTCACCCTAGAGAATCGAGATCAAATATTTTTCTGTTTTATTAAGATTTATAAAATAATAATAATAATAATAATAATTTTCTTATTGCCATTCAGGATCAAGTAATCAATACAAGAAACTATAAAAAATACATATTAAAAGACCCAAACATGCAGAACGATAGTTGTAGAAAATGCCACCGCCAACCCGAAACTATACAACATATTACCGGTGCTTGTCCCAGCCTAGTACAAACTGTACAAATGTGTACACCCACCGTCATAACCAGGTTGCTAATTACGTTCATCAAAAACTTGCAAATAAACACAATTTAATCCCGAACCAAAAACTACTGCCGTACTATCAGTATACCCCCAAACCTGTTCTGGAGAGCGACAGTCACAGAATGTACTTTGATAGAGCTATTCTTACCGATAAAACAATTCATTACAATAGACCGGATATAACTTTAATTGATAAATTAAATAAAACAGTATATCTAATTGATATAGCGATCCCAAATACCCATAATATACAAAAAACCATTACTGAAAAAAATCATAAATACACAGAATTAAAAGAAGAAGTAACTAGAATCTGGAAAATGAACAAAGTATATATTGTACCGCTGGTTCTCTCCAGTACTGGTGTGATCCCGAAATGTTTGTCTCTCTCCCTTAAACAATTAGATCTTCCTGAAAATAGTTATATTACCATGCAAAAAGCAGCCATCCTCAACACGTGCCGTATAGTCCGAAAATTTTTGCAAGAAGACATCTCGGATTTTGATTCCCAAATGGACACGCACTTGGCTTAGGCCCGTGAACATCTCTTAAAAACCAAGATTTTACAAAATCTTGAGAAAGAAAAAAACAAACAAAAAATAATAATAATAATAATAATAATAATAATAAATAAAAATAAAATGGCGTAGGGAATTGACGACCCCATCGCCCGCTGACGTAACAGTTAAGTGACAAAACTGCTACGTCAACGCAGTCAGTCAGCGCCTTGCGAGAGGTGTGAGCGCCGTGCCTCTGCAGAATTCAGGGTGCAAAGGCCCGTTTGTGCTTATGGCCGTCCACGATACGGTGCCGGGCCTGGGCGTCTCCCGTTAATGGACGCCCATATTATGGATGATGGAGAAAAAGATAGTGCGCAAAGGGCCGCTGCCTGGAGGTCGCCAGGGCGCGTCTGGAGCTGGCGCTGGACGCGACAGCATGCGGGCCGCCAGCCGAGCGCGGGGTGTTGCAAGACCACCTAGCAGCCCCCCGCATCCATCATCCCCACCAGAAGGCTTGGTGTCGGCTGGGTCTTCTCGGACTCAGCAAGCGGCACCCGCCGCTGGTGGAGCACGTCGCATGCGTTGGTCTAAATCAATGAATGAAAACGCACTGCGGGCGTATTTTAGGGCAAAAGGGGAAGAAACTGGATGTTTGGCGTATCGGGCTCGGATGCATCGCTTTTTTGCAGAGCTGGAGCCATCTCTATCCGTCACTGAGCAAAACCTGGCAGACCGAGTTAGGTACATCCTGCGCTCCAACATATTTGGTGACGCCGAACTCGAGCGACTACGACGTGAGGCTATTCCTTCATCGAATGGAAATGCTACGGCTGGGAATGCGGCGCCACTAGATGCGCAACAAACTGCATATGTGGATGCTGCCATCAACATTCCATTTGTGGCTAATTCAGACGATGATGGAATAGTCTCCCACGAACTAGAGAAAATGAGGAGCATATTGGAAGAGTCGATGCTGGAAACGCGCAGCATGCCTCTCGAAAATCGACCGCGACTTCCCCGCATACCCCTTAGCAAGCGAAATCGGGCTGTCGTGCGGGCTCTTAACCCAATGCTGGTGACCTATTTGGAAGCCAGCCGGGACCTTTGCGAGACGGATTCAATTCTTTTTGGCGCCGCACTGGCAGTATGCCGTATTATTGGCGCCAAACTTCCCGTGGCTGGACGTGCTACTCAAAAAAGTAGCGCCATCCCAGCCTGGAGAAAAAGAATTGAGGACCGTATCGCAAAGGCAAGGGCCCTTATCGGCAGACTGACAAGCTTCAGGTCGGGTAATAATAGACCGAGGATTATGCGCACCGTTAGGATGGCGTTTGCTGGGACAAATATCAGTTTGTTCCAGCCGGATATCACGCAAAAACTAACGGAGCGCATAGATGACCTGAAGCAAAAAATCGCTGCTTGGGGGAAGCGGATTCGACGATTTAGCGAGAGGTCAAGGCGGTTCAACCAGAATCGTCTCTTCCAGAGTGATCAGAAGAGGCTCTATAAATCATTGGAGCGACCAGAGGTATGTGGAGCGGGCCCAGGACCGGATCAGGCTGACACTGTCGCATTTTGGCGTGGCCTGTGGTCAGAGCCCGTAAACCACAGCGAGGGCCCTTGGATGGAAGTTGTGGCGAGCCAGAGTGCAAGTGTTACGCCTATGGACCCCGTCACCATAACGCCTGAAGACGTGGCTGAGGCGGTCCGTAGGGCCCCGAACTGGAAAAGTCCGGGGCTCGACGGGCTGCATCATTACTGGCTGAAGGGGTTCGTAGTGTGTCACGCTGTGCTCGCCCGACAGTTTCAAGAGGCTCTCGATCAGAAGTCGCTCCCGAGCCTCTTCACTACTGGGATCACTCATTTGGTTCCTAAAGATCAGGATACCACAGACCCGAGCAAATACCGCCCCATCACGTGTCTACCCACCATATATAAGACACTGACATCCATTTTGAGCGCGAGAATCACTCGTCACCTGGAGCTAAATCAGGTGATGTCACGCGCTCAAAATGGATGCCGGGGCGGTGGTCGTGGAACCAAGGAACCACTCCTCATTGACGCGGTCATTGGCAAAGTGGTGAAACGCAACCGTCGGAATTTCTCCGCCGCCTGGATAGACTACAGAAAGGCATTCGACTCGGTGCCCCATACATGGCTAAAGAGAGTCCTCCAGCTGTACAAAATTGACTGTACAGTTGGAGACTTCCTCGAGCAGTGTATGGGGCAATGGAGTACGATCCTTTGCTATCTGGGCGAGCGGATGATGGCTGCGGAGAACCACATAAGGATAAGAAGGGGTATCTTCCAGGGCGATTGTCTGAGTCCAATCTGGTTTTGCCTCTCCCTGAACCCTCTCAGTACTTTACTGGAGGGCTCCGGGAGGGGATTTCAGCTTCGGAAAGGAGGTACAAAAGTGACCCACCTTTTCTATATGGATGACCTCAAGTTATTCGCCTCCAGTCGCTCCCATCTTATGGAATTGCTAAACATCACTTGTGAATTTAGCAATTCTATTGGAATGGAGCTGGGAACGGATAAGTGTGCGGTCCTCCATGTTGAAAGGGGGAGGGTTGCTAACTCTGAGGGCATAGACTTATCTATGCCCGTCAACTTAAGGACCCTTTCCGAGGCTGAAACATACCGATACCTGGGTATGTCACAGAACATCGGTATCGATGAGGCTAGTATGAAACAGTCAGTTTGCGACGTGTTTTATGCACGCTTGACCAAAGTGCTTAACAGCCTTTTGTCCGGTGTGAATAAGACACACGCATATAACAGCTGGGTCATGCCTGTCCTCATGTATACCTTTGGCATACTCAGGTGGACTCAGACTGAACTTAACGCCCTGGATAGAAAAGTCCGCACTACCATGACGTCCCACAGGATGCATCATCCGAGATCGTCGGTAATGAGGCTGTACTTGCCGCGAAAGCATGGTGGGCGTGGCTTCTTGAGCGCGCTCACCATGCATAATCGCGAAGTGTGCAGCCTCCGTAATTACTTCTTGGCGAGATCGGATGATCCATTCTATAAGGACGTCATTTCTAGTGATAAAGGATTTACCCCTCTATCCTTAGCCAACGAGCAATGGCAAGACCCGGCAGTGCAGACAATTTCCGACCGGGAGAACGTATGGAAGGAGAAGGAGCTCCACGGGAGGTTCTACAAGGCTCTACATGAGCCTTTCGTAGACACAGTAGCCTCCCTCCACTGGCTACGCTTTGGTGATCTCTTCGGGGAAACCGAGGGTTTTGTCTGTGCAATACAGGATCAGGTTATTAAGACCAACAACTATCGGAGATACATCCTAAAGGATGGCACCGTGGACATCTGTCGAGCTTGTCGCCATCCCGGTGAGTCACTTAGGCATGTCATCTCCGGTTGTTCGGCGCTTTCTAACTCTGAGTACTTGCACAGGCACAACCTAGTAGCCAGAATTCTTCACCAGGAGCTCGCTCTGAAATACGGTCTCGTGGATCGGAAATTGCCGTATTACAAGTACTTGCCGGAAGCCGTGCTCGAAAATGATCGCGCCAGGCTCTATTGGGACCGGGCCATCATCACAGACAGGACTATTCTTGCGAATAAGCCTGATATTGTGCTGATGGACCGGGCACAGTCAAGGATATTTTTGGTCGACATTACCATTCCGTATGACGAGAACCTCGTGAAAGCCGAAACAGACAAGCAAACAAAATATCTGGACCTGGCTCACGAGGTGACGGACATGTGGGGTGGTCTGCCGACCGAAATTATTCCTGTAGTCGTCTCTGCAAACGGGCTAATCCCAGTCAGCCTCTCGGGTCATCTGAGGCGACTGGGACTACGTGGCGGACCGCTCCGGGCTCAAATGCAGAAGGCGGTGCTCCTCGATACCGCCCGCATCGTCCGCCGGTTTCTTTCCCTTTCCCCCTAACCCTCGGCCGTTTGGTCTCCCCCTGCCGAGGGCCTCCATCTGGTTGGGCTTTTATTTATTTATGTATTTTTATATTTATTTTATGTTATTGATATATATGTATATTTATCTTTTCATATTATATATTTATAGAACCCAACCAGATGAGAAAACTATATAGATACCCCACAAAATAATAATAATGTATATTTATTTATCTTTTCATTTTAATATATAATTATATATTTATAGGACCCAACCAGGTGAGAAAATTATATAGATACCCCAATAATAATAATAAGCCACTTACAAGTCTAACCCTACGTCCGAGCTTAACACCTACGCTCACGTGAGTGGCGGACACCCGCAACGAAGGTACTTTGTGAGTGACCAACGGGGCTCTAGCACACCCATCAATATGGAGTTGTGAAATAGAAGTATTAGTAAAGGACCGCTTCCCGAGGGCAATCGTCGGGGCACGCCTGGAGCCGGTGCTGGGCGTTTCAGTATGCGAACCACCGGTGGCGAGGGTTTACCTGGACGGCCCTCTGCCGGGTCTCCCGAATAATGCGAGTTCAGCGCATCATCAGCACTAACATCGTCTGATGAATACAAGTGCGATAGTAAAGCAGTCTCTCCGGCCTCGGATGTTTCACGGGCGGCAAGGGCCACTCAGCCTGTGACCACCAAAGCTGGCAAGCCTAGAGTGCGCATGAAATGGGATGAAGAAATAAATACTTTCATTATGCGCACTTACTTTTACATTACCAAATTAGAAACCGATCGCACTATGTACGTTAAGAAATTATTTGACCAATTTCAATTAAATATTGTTACGCGCCTTAGTCGACGGCACTAGCGCCATCTAGTCTCGAACCGAAGAACTAAACTTCTTGAAGTTGAAACTCGAACTCTCGGTACCTTGCGCGTGTTTACTTGAATATTCTGGATATTTCCGTGCTAATTTATATAAATAGGCGCTGCAAGATGCGATCGGGGAAGTATTGAATTCGGCGAGACAAGCGAAGCTTCGGAGCGAAATAAAGTGAATCAGTGTGATTAATTATTAGTGTTTTAAGTTTAAATTTGTGTGAAGAAAATTAAAGTGTTAATTTAGGTAATTTTATCGGCAATTTTTATTGTCACGAACCTCAAGCTCGTAACAATATCCTCATATAAATGTCATATCTCAACGTATTGCAGACCAGAGATTAGTAATAATAAGAAATAAATTGTTATCTGATAAACAAATCAAAAGAATAAAGCAACAAGCAGCTAAAATAATTGAAAACGAGAAAGCTGAGAATAATATTTCGGACTCACGTTCAGGTACAAGAGACACCAATCATATGACGGCGGGTAATTCAAATCTCGACCTTTTTTAGCCGTCGTCAGTTATCTCCGCCCTCTTCCTTATTCGAAATTCAATCAATTACCTTAACATCCGATTCTGCAACACAAACTCTATCAATGAGCTGCACGGCTCAAACTAGTATTTTAAGTGCTTCACACCCAGCTTAAATAAATCTCCCAGATGATGGTTTAGTACAGAAGTTAACCAACGAACTGAAGACTAATCTAGCATTGTATACTGGTACGGACCCCAACATAAGACCCAAACTGCCGCGATTGAAAGAAAATAAGGAGCTATATAGTTTACTTAACATTTTTAATAGTCGTATATTACCCAAATTCTATAGTATTGATTCTGAGATACTACATATTCATACCCTCATATATTGTTCAGCTTTAGTAATCTCAAAACTATTAGGATATAAAATTTCAAATGGCCCCTTAAAAAAAGCGAAATTCATTTAACAATAAGCCGGCTTGGCAAATAAGATTAGAAATAGATATATCTATCCTGCGCGCTGATGTGGCTAGAATAACACAATTTATTAAGAATAATAAAGTATATTTGATAAATATAAAGTACATTCACTCGTCAATTATGATAAAAATAATATTAGACCAGCTGAATTTTTAGACACTCTAAAACAAAAACTTGCACTTAAAACCCAAAGACTAGCCAGATACAAAAAAGCCCTACAAAGAAAAGAAGACAATAGGCTTTTTCAGACTAACGAAAAAGGATTTTATCGGATGCTCAAACATAATGTAAGTAATGTATCTAATGAACCCAAGGAAGTACCAACTGAAGAAGAACTTAAAAACTACTGGACTGAAATATGGAAGAAAAATAATGAACATAATGAGCAGGCAAGTTGGATCAATGAAGAATAAAATAAAGCAGAAGCTATTGAATTGATGGAATTCACAGAAGTTACTAAATTAGAGAATTAATTACTAAAAAAAATTACTAAATTGAACATGTAACCAAAAAAATTAAAAGCTGGAAAGCTACTGGACCCGATAATGTTCACAACTTTTGGTATAAAAAATTCTCGGCCCTCCACGATATTTTAGCGAAAATTATTACAGATATATTAAAAGGCGTATCAGAGATCCCATCATTTGTAACCGTAGGTACTACTTTCATGATTCCCAAAAGTGATAAAACAGCAGATCCCTCACAGTACCGACCGATTACGTGTCTCTCAACTATATACAAACTAATAACCTGTTGTATAACACTAAAAATAAATACGCATTTAACACATAATAAAGTATTAGCGGAGAAACAAAAAGGATGCAGACAGAATCACAGAGGATGCAAAGAACAACTCATTATCGACTCGATAGTAATTAAACACGCTACCTCTTACAACCTTAATCTTAACCTAACATATATTGATTATAAGAAAGCATTAGACAGTGTACCTCACTCTTGGCTGATACGAGTTTTGCAAATTTATAAAATCAACCCGGACATTATTTCTTTCCTGGAGAGAGTTATGGGCACATGGAAAACTAAACTACACCTTAATGACGGTAATAAGACTATAGTCACAGAAGATATACCAATCGCTTATGGCATTTTCCAGGGAGATTCATTGAGTCCACTGTGGTTTTGTCTGGCTCTTAACCCTTTATCTTCTTTACTCAACAAAAAGAAACATGGATATAAATTAACTAAAGACACCTATGTTAATCATTTAATGTATATGGACGATATAAAACTTTTTGCCAAATCAGAAAATGCCCTCATAAAAATTACAGCTGAGTTTAGTAAACATATAAACATGACCTTTGGTTTAAATAAATGTAAAACGCTTAAACTTCATAAAGGTAGATACAATAGTAGTACAGAAAGTCAATACGATATGTTCACATTGATGGACGAAAATGATACATATGAATATCTAGGCTTGCGTGAAGGAAGATGTATAGACCATACTGCTATTAAAAAGGACCTTAGTAAAGAATATTTACGTAGGTTGAATCTAGTTTGTAAAAAGCAACTTTAAAGCTATTAACACTTTAGCCATCCCAATACTTACCTATTCTTTCGGAGTAATTAAATGGGCAACTACAGATATACGAAATCTTGAAATCAAAACTAGGACTACCATAACTAAACACAAATATTTGCATCCTAAATCGGCAATTGAACGACTTACGATAAAGAGAGCTATAGGAGGTAGGAGTCTGATCGATCTTAAAAGGTTATGGTAAGGGCAAGTCAAAAACCTGCAATCTTTCTTTTACGAAAAATCGGCTAATAGTCCGTTACATCAAGCAGTCATTGAATCCGATAACAATTATACCCCTCTAAATCTAAGTAATCAAGGTAATAGATCTACTAAGGTAATTGATCATGAAAAAGGAAAGCTATCAAAGTGGCGTAGTAAAGAATTACATGGTAGATGCACACGATTTAGAACAACCTCACATAGACTTGCTGGCTTCAAATAAATGGTTAAAAATAGGTTCTCTTTTCCCCGAAACCGAAGGTTTTCTTATTGTCAATACAAGAAACTATAAAAAATACATATTAAAAGACCCAAACATGCAGAACGATAGTTGTAGAAAATGCCACCGCCAACCCGAAACTATACAACATATTACCAGTGCTTGTTCCAGCCTAGTACAAACTGATTACACCCATCGTCATAACCAGGTTGCTAATTACGTTCATCAAAAACTTGCAAATAAATACAATTTAATGCCGAATCAAAAACTACTGCTGTACTATCAGTATACCCCAAACCTGTTCTGTAGAGCGACAGTCACAGAGTGCACTTTGATAGAGCTATTCTTACCGATAAAACAATTCATTACAATAGACCGGATATAACTTTAATTGATAAATTAAATAAAACAGTATACCTAATTGATATAGCGATCCAAAATACCCATAATATACAAAAAACCATTACTTAAAAAAATCATAAATACACAGAATTAAAGGAAGAAGTAACTAGAATCTGGAAAATGAACAAAGTATATATTGTACCGCTGGTTCTCTCCAGTACTGGTGTGATCCCGAAATGATTGTCTCACTCCCTTAAACGATTAGATCTTCCTGAAAATAGTTATATTACCATGCAAAAAGCAAACATCTTCAACACGTGCCGTATAGTCCGAAAATTTTTGCAAGAAGACATCTCAGATTTTGATTCCCAAATGAATGCGCACTTGGCTTAGGCCCGTGAACATCTCTTAAAAACCAAGATTTTACAAAATCTTGAGAAAGAAAAAAAGAATACGTAAATAATAATAATATTAATAAATAGTAACCCGAGATAAAAGGCATAGGGAAGTGACGACCCCATCGCCCGCTGACGTAACGGTAATGTGACAAAACCGCTACTTCAGCGCAGTCAGTCAGCACCTTGTCAAGAGGTGTTAGTGCCGTGCCTCGGCAAAAATTGAAGGTGCAAAGGCCCGCTTGTGTACATGGCCCACCATGCAACGGCGCCGGGTCTGGGCGTCTCCCGTTAAATGACGCCCACAAAAATGGATGATGGATTTGACTAGAATGCGCAAAGGGCTACTGCCTGGAGGACGCCAGGGCGCGTCTGGAGCTGGCGCTGGACGCGACAGCATGCGAACCGCTAGCTAACGAGCGCGAGGTGCTGCACGACCACCATCATCCCCACCAGCTGGCTTGGTGTCGGCAGGGTCTTCGCGGACCCAGCAATCGGCACCCGCCACTGGTGGAGCACGCCGCATGCGTTGGACAACTCAAATGAACAGCAACGCATTGCGGGCGTATTTTAGGGTGAAAGGGGGAGAAATTGGAGGTTTTGCGTATCGGGCAAGGATGCATCGACTTTTTGCCAAGCTGGAGCCATCTGTAACCGTCACCAAGCAAAACCTGGCAGATCGAGTTCGGTATATCTTGCGCTCAAATACATTTGATGTCATCGAACTCGAATGGCTACGACGTGAGGCTGTTCCTTCATCGCATGAAAATGCTACGGCTGAGGATGCGGCGCCACAACTTGCAGAGCAACCGGCAAACGTGGATGCCGCCGGGAATACTCCAATTTTGGTTGATTCAAACGATGATGGAACAGTCGCCCAGGAACTGGAACTGGAGCAAATGAGGAGTACATTGGATGAGGCGATTTTGGAAACGCACAGTACGCCTCTCGAAAATCGTCCGCGACTTCCCCGCGTAGCCCTCAGCAAGCGGAATCGGGCTATCGTGAGGGCTCTGAACTCAATGCTGGTGACCTATTTGGAAGCCAGCCGGGACCTTTGCGAGACGGACTCAATTCTATTTGGCGCCGCACTGGCAGTCTGCCGTAGTATAGGCGCCAAACTTTCCACGGCTGGACGCACTACTGGACAAAGTAGTGCTATCCCAGCCTGGAGAACAAGAATTGAAGAACGTATTGCAAAGGCTAGGGCCCTCATCGGCAGACTGATATGCTTCAGGTCAGGCAATACCAGGCCAAGGATTGTGCGCACCGTCAGGATGGCGTTTGCTGGGACAAATGTTGGTTTGTCCCAGCCGGATATAATGCAAAAACTGACGGAGCGCATAGACGACCTGAAGCAGAGAATCGCTGCTTGGGGAAAGCGGATTCGGCGATATACCGAGAGGTCGACACGGTTCAACCGGAATCGTCTCTTCCAGAGTGACCAGAAGAGGCTCTGTAAATCATTGGAGCGACCAATGGTAAGTGGAACGGGCCCAGTACCGAATCGGGCCGACACGGTCGCATTCTGGCGCAGCCTGTGGTCAGAGCCCGTAAACCACAACGAGAGCCCTTGGATGGAAGTTGTGGCGAGTCAGTGTGTGAGTACTACGCCCATGGACCCCGTCATCATAACGCCGGATGACGTAGCTGAGGTGGTCCGTAGGCAGGTAGGGCTTGAAGGGCTGCATCACTACTGGCTGAAGGGGTTCATGGTGTGTCATGCTGTGCTCGCTCGACAGTTTCAAGAGGCTCTCAACCAGAAGTCGCTCTCGAGCCTCTTCACTACTCGGATCACTCATTTGGTTCCTAAAGATCAGGGTACCACATACCCG